GACTACAGTTTCTGGTCACTAGTCTAGAATTTCATTTTTGCAGCCAGAAGAAAGTTAAAACTGTAACTATAATTTGATTTGAGACGCATTCAAAGAGCCTCAGGGAAATACTCAAGGAAGGAACAAACCTGGACACTGTACAGGCCTTTCTGGTACACAGCTTTCCATTTTGTCATCTCCAAATTAGTGAAGGAATTTAAATTCGCATTGACTAGAAACAAAACGAGTAACACAGAAGAAAGCCACATGTTCTTTGTGAACTGTTCATGTACTTAAAAATGTGTTACTGAATTATAACCTTCCTGCACTCCAATGCTTTGCTAAAGCTGGTAAAATGGAACCAAATCACCTCTTCAATGGATTTGGTCCCCTTCAACCAGCTGTAGCTATGCATTGATCACTACAGGATTTCTCATATTTTTAAAACTGGACGCTAAGTCTGCTCAGAGTAATTATGCAGTCCTCTCTGCAGTTGAGTTCAATTATTCTAGACAGTTCGAAGATAGAAGGTAACAAGAAGTGTAGTAAACTCTATATTTCAAAATTTCAAGGTTGTATTTGTAAATAAACAGCTACTGGTGTTTAATATTGTGTCCATATTCAGTGAAAATTGATCTCTTGTAACATTTATAAAGAAGATAGGTAAACAGTGAAATAAACGGATTTTCCAATTATTTATTGTCTCTTGTATTTTTCCTCAAGTCTGTTGCCCTTTGTAACAGAACTGACCAAAAAAGAAATCTGGTCAAGAGGAAGCAATCATGAACAGTATTGGCAATGGAGCGAAAGTCTGCTTTCTGGGCACCTCTCTTCCTGTCGTCGCCCCCCCCCCCCCCCTTTTTTTTTCTTTTAAATTGCACAAGGGAGGAAACTCCACAGGGTAGGAACTGTATTTGCCATCTTGCACATGCTGGGAATATTATTTACTATTTAAAGATAATAAATTTGTCACTGACCTCAACAGCTACAGGCTAATCTGCCATCTAATTATAGGTCTGCTCATGGGGATTATATTCTTTCTCCAAATCAACTTGAACAAAAGTCTTCTTTCAAAGCATTTTTCGACATAATACATTAATAAGAGGTTTTAGGAGCATGCTTTTTTTGCACTCAGCTTCAACCTACACTCACTGTTGGAACTGCAAATATGAAAGCAAAAAATCCCTTTTATTGGTTTAGAAAATAATTGTACAACTCTGATTACCTCACAACTTGTCTCTGTGAGGACCTCCATGACAATACAGCACAAAAGCCGAGACACTCATTAACACTAAGTACAGGTGAGAAACTCCACCTCTCAAATACATCGCTAAAAACAGTTAAAAATTCCAAAGCCATCCAGTTCAAACCATCTGCAAGTCTAAAACCAAGGAGAGATCTACTAAATAAGACAACCATGGGGAAAAAGTATAATTCCATTTTAAACCAGTCTCCTACTTACAAGTTTATGAACATAAAGATGACATACTCCTTGCTATTGGACAGCAATATGAAATCTACATCTTACCCCAATATTTTAATTTTTTTATTTAAAATCCAGCAGAATTTATTGCTCTGAAGAGCTAGTCATATGCATCTGCAAAGTCAGGTCAGCTCTAAAAGCAGCCTCTATTTAAGATGCTAGCTGCAGTGTGAATAAAGCTCTCTTCACAAGATACAATGCAAATCTAAAACTAACTGGGGCAACGGACATAAAATATGCCTACACTTCACAGTCATGTCTTCAGCTCAAAAATCTGAAGTCACAGGTATGCGAATAGATCAAACATAACCGAGAGTTGATAATATGGCAAAAATAACCAATCTGTACAGTATTTTCAAATTTTACTCTTTTTTCTGTCTGAAAAAAATCTCATTAACACTAGAGGCAAAGTCTGCCAAGCTTTGAGGTTCACAGTACTTTGAAAAAAGTCCAGAATAAATGCACTTTTAATATGACTGACTCAGTTAAAAATCATGAACAAGAAACCAGTATTAAATAAAATCTTAACTTCCCCACACTTCATTTAAAATTTCTTTTTAGCTCTATCTCCCATGCACAAATTTAAAGCTACCTACAGCATAAACTGAAAAACGTCCATTCCACATTTCAACATTATACATTAGCATGAAAAACAAAAGTTCTGTTTCTGTACCAATTCACAAGGCCTGAACAGAAGCAAGTTATTAAAAGGAGAAATAATCCACTAACAATAGGATGCTTTCCAGAACACACCATACGTTGACTTCTGGAAAACACTGCCAAACTGTCATGGAAGATTAAGTGCTGAGAAAAATCTAAGCTATTTGACATAAATCGTTACCTTTCTTATAATATTTATCTAATATTCAAATGTTTAAAACAGAATATATTTATTTTCTTATGAAAAATGAAAAACTTTCAAATGTTCTTCTCAGCATAGTTCATGTGCTTTTTTTTCTTGGAGATCTATCTCCCTACTGTTAGTAAAGGTCAGAACTCAAGCAAGAAGCAGAATAGGTTTTGCACTGAAAATGAAATTGATTCCAAATACCTGTTTGACATCAACTGTAAAAAATTCTATAGAAATCTAGTTCACTTTATTGTGGTATCCATGCACTTAACACATGCATTTATATTATTATCATTAACAAGGAAGATGGATGTGGACTTTATCAATACTTACATACTTAGCAAGTATTTTATAAGTATAGATATACACACATATGCATACATGCTTATATACATATATGAATATATGTTTAACATAACATATTTATATATTTGACCTTAAGGACAATTTAGTGCACTGTATTCCATGTAAGGCACCACAGCCTAAAGCCACAAAAACTCCAGTTTAGGTTAAATAGGAAAGCTTGGATTAGGAAAGATAGGTCCTTAAGTAAGGTTTCAAGCAGAATATATTATGTACTGCTTGTGACCCCTATCAGCCACAAGCTAAAGTTCAGGGGGTTATTTTTAACAGTGTTTTAAATAGCTTGTGCTTAGTGCATTTAACAGATTAGTAATAACCATTGTTCTATATCAGTTTAGAAAGACATAGTGGCAAATATAAAACCTTTGGTTTCATTCAGAAACAGGCCAGTGGTAGAACCGACAATGAAATAAACGACTATCACTAAAGTGTTAAAGAAAAGAAAACTTAACTCCTAAATGTTACTAGCTATTATGATAATTTTTTGGGCGGGGGGGGAATTAAAAATTATTCAAAATAGATTTATTTTGATTTTATTTTCATGAATTTCTTCCCAGGCTGATATGCAAAATATCTAATACTGTGAACAAATGAAACTAGTACTTCTGTGATGGAGAAAACGTTCTCTCTTTTTACATGCTTCAGAAGTGCTCAGATATAACTGCAACCAAAAAAGTAAATATCTAACAGCTTTAGATAGCTAACTTTTAGATGCAAGTGAAACCCCATGTATGGGAGGAACCTACACAGGGTTCAAATCACTAATACTGGAAATATTTTCCTATTCTTCCAATAAAAACTTTTGTAAAGGATAGAGGACTCTGGAAAAAATTGCACTACGCCTCACATTCTACCAACTGTCAAACTGACCCAGTCTGAACTAGAATTTGGATCCCTCCATCAAAGAAAAAGCCGGCCGTGCCTAAAACATTCACCCACAAAAAAAAAATCTTCAGCATCCCTATGAAGAGCTTTTTTCTCATACACTTTCCCTGCATCTCATACTGAGATCACAATCACACAAACCAAATGTCACAAGAGCCTAAGGAAAGCATCACAGAACAAAAAACTAACAAAAAATACCCCACCTGGTAACCGGAGACAGGAAACAGTACTCCTGGCTAATGCTGTTATGTAAATATAGAGAATTCACATTACGTGAAGAAGTTACTAGGTCAGACTTGAAAGAATTGTCTTCTGAATGCCAAAAATAAGCTCCCTTCACTAGGTCCTTGTCTATAAGAGACATGTTCTCTTATAGACCTTTTATGAGCACTGAGAAAACTGTAAACACATTTATTGCTGCTATCAGCACTTCCAACCACTACTTTTACTTTGTGAAGTATGATTCCATTCCATATACATATATAAATACTTATGTTTACTTTTTAACTATCAGTCTTGATAGCTATGTTCTAAGAGACTAACCCAGATTTTATTCCCATATATTAATATACAGCCTTATTTGTTTTTACCATATAATATCTATGGTAGTTTAGTAGTAAAGTTAAACAAGTAAACACATACATTTCTTATTTCATGTAAACTATACTGAATTCTCCACCATACGATAAAATATTACTGAAGTCTTGCTAGAACAATAGCTCTGAAGAATACCATTTATCCACAACGTAATAAGCAACCAGCAAGTTTTCCATTAAGTTCTATCTATGCAATGTAGTTTTTGAAAGCTATCTTAACTGAAGACTGAATGTATAGTATGCAGCTAGCATAAAACAAGTTATGCATTAAAACTAACTTTTTCAGATGAGCTGCTATATAAAAGCTGAAATAAGAAATTCCTTCTATGCATACTTCTAAGAAAACAAAATTAAATGTTTCTTATACTGACAAATACAACAATCCTAATTAATGCAACAATCCTAAGATCATTTTATAACTGCATGGTATATTTAATAATTATTCACGAAGAAGTATTCCTTAAAAACTCAAATCCCTTTCCCAATTCCAATATTCCAGAAGGGAAACATTTTTACAAATCCTATCTTAAGATCCCATCTTAAGATCTTACTTAATAACTTACTTATCAAAACGTTTATTGGCAAAATTTTACAGCCACCACAGGAAATTTCCCAGGGATTTGAAGTTACCTGAATTCAGCATTAAACTGAGCAGACTAGTAGCTTTGTTCTGATAATGGCTTCCCAAGTATTAGAAAGATGCATATCTAAGCAACATCAAAATTTAAGAAATATAATTGCATGCAGGTTTAAGGATCTTTGAAAGAATACCATAATTCTACCCTCCCATGCACTTGTTTTCCTTTTACAAATGATAAAATAATCTTTAAAAACAAATATTTACCTAGGGTTTCCTCTTAGCGCAGCGTGGTGAAGAGCATTAAACCCATTGTTGTTGGTGATAGTAACATCTGCTCCAGCTTCTAACAATACAGCAAGGATGTCATCACGCTTTTTACTTATTGCATCATGAAGTGGAGTGTCACCTTCAGAATCCTAAAACCAGAAACAGCTTACATCAATTTTTGCATGCATTCACATTAAAGAAAAAAAGATGCTTAAATATCACTAGGAAAACTGACTACACAAAACAGCTCTTCAGACCATAAACTGTTGCTATACTGCAGAGTTCAGAGCAAGCTGCTTCTGATCTTGCTCTGGTTTTACAAATGCTTCAGTGGGTAATCCTACCCAGGGCTCCAGTATTCTACGATTACACTACTACCAGAACTCAAACGCAGAGCTCAAGTATGCCTTGCATCTGATAGCACTGAAAACACTGGTGTAGACATCAACTTCTCTATGCCTCACATCCAGGTGGCGTTGATGCCCAAGTTACAATTTATGAGTAATAGAAGGACAGCAACAAAAACTAATGCAACAGAGAGGAGACTAGTCAGGCAGAAGGCGGCAGGGAATTTTGAGTAATGAACGCTAAGATTGAGCCAGCAATTAACCATGTAAAAGACAATACCAGAAAGACAGTGTGAAATAAAAGCATAAGCAAATCGAAATAAAATGCAGTCCAAGTAATAAAACAACAGTTGTGCCTAAGTTTAACTGAAGCAGATCATTTTCCATGAAGCAAAGGCCAATGTCATAAGCAGTATTAAGCTTTTAAACTTGTTATGGCTAATACCAGATTACATTCATGTACACAAGGTACATGAAAATATTTCAGTGCATAATTGAACAGGCAAAGAATGTATATTTTTAGCTTGATGTTTTATTTTTCAAATATCCCAAATAAGGGAAAAATACTTTTTATTCCTAGAAGCATTTTGTACATTACTTATTCAAGGACTCAAATGGTTGGTCAGAAAAGGAATGCTCCAGACTAACAGCGAGAAAACACAACCATTTAAGCTTATTTGCTGCTATATAGGCAAACTCTTTAGATTTATGCTTCCAGTAAAATTCTAACACCATATAAGTCAGGAAGTCTTTTGTCACTGACACTGATTCAACTGCAAACTAACACAGGAACTGAACATTTTAGCAATACATTAATATGAAAACAAATCTTTACAATCTTTACAGTGAGAATTAAAAACTGCCAAACAAAATGTGCCAAAAAATGGAAACACTTGAACCAGTGTGAACCAGTTTGCCAAAACTAAATTATGTAGCTTTTATTTGGTTTAATTGATCATGTTTCCTGAATTTACTGTTTACAGACTAACATATGTTTCTGTTTACACAGTGAATTGGCTTGAGTAGTAGTGTGCTGGCCAGTTAAATTCCAGCCATGCCTCAGTCTGACTCCCCTGTGCTCTCATCCACCACATCAATCGCCTACTCACATTTGCACATCGGAGTTCCTCAGCACACACACAGGATCTGAAAGTTCATTATTTTCAATGACAATTATATTTTCCAGATGGAGTTGCATAGCACCATTGTACTGAGTTTTTCAATCCAAACAGACTTCTATAAAGTCAGAGACATCCACTTTGGCTACCCATGTATCACACATCATTATATGATATAGTCACCCTTTATTGGGCTCGATACATCAGACTCCTTATTATATCTACTGTTCAACAAATACTAAATAGGGCCTGAACTGATGTTAGCTGGCTAACAGCTCAACCTCAGCAAGAGCAAGACAGTATCTATAAAGCCAGGTGGAAGCAAATAAGTAAACAAACAATATATTCACTAATTTCAAGAAAGTTTGCTCATTGTTTGTTATGTGGATATACAGCTTCAAAAAAATCACTGACTATTGACATGGCAAAACAAGGAGGTAAATGTGTTATTAGTGCGTATCTGGATTTGCCCAGGACGTTACAGCTTTTTCTTTCTGTTGCAAACCTCTTCAAACTTACCCATCCTGATTTGTTTTACTAATGCACTGCATGCGGCTGCATTCAGCTCATGCAGAATGTGGATGCCTGCTTATTTGATAGCAGGTTTCTACTCTACCTTCTCAACAGAAGGTTGCACTCATACGTCACAGCTTCCACTACATTCATTACAGATAAAACTCCCTGTGAAATTATGGTACTTGAGGCCCTATGCATGAGGGCTTTTTAAATAAAAGGCTGAATATGTAAAAGAGAATCTGGCTAAACAGTTCTATCAATGATAGGTCAATTCTGAAAAAAGGTTTCTTTTAACAAAACATTCCACAGTATCATCAGCCAAAAAATGCAAAGGTATAGCTTGCAAAAGGAGCAAACAGCTGTGAATTCGATAGAGGAGGAATTACAGAGAGAAAGGAGGAAAGAGCAGAGGAAGTTAACAATTACAGATAACTACAGTCTGAAAATACCAATTAACATCAACTGACTAGAATAAATCAGGTGCCTATCTAGCTGTCAAGAAAACAAATAGATTTAATAGCATTTTTATTACAGCTGATCACATGTTGGGGTAGAGGCTGGGACATGTACCTTCACAAGGTCTGTTCCTTCCAATCCCATTTTCCATAATTCTTCTATCACCTACACACAGCATATCATAAAATTCAGCAGCTAAAAGTGAATCTATATTAATATTTACTTTACCTGGAGACTAGGATGGCAGCCAAAGTCCAGTAAAGTCTTCACAACTTGCAGATGACCTTTGTTGACAGCAATATGAAGTGGGGTCTGCCTGCGTTTGTTGCGAGCGTTCAAATCTGCACTGCCTCGGTGCAAAACCTCTATCACAGCACCCTCATCACCAAAGGCTGCATGATGGACGGCCCTGTCTCCGTCTTTGTCCTAAAGTAGAAACATTAATTTGACCCAGTATATTCCACATTTCCTTTGGATTTAAACAAGAAGATTAATTTAAACTGAACCATTGTGCATATTTGGTTTCTTTAAAGAGAAAGAAAAATCAGACAACCATGATAGCATTCAAATACCTAATTAAAATAATTGCTTAAACCACTGCAATAGAGGATGAAGAGTCTGTTCTTATATAAACATACGTATTCTATGACATATGATATTCTATACCATATACAACTATTGCCCTGTATCTTTGTGTGATGTGTTCATCAGAAATTTGAATAGATTCATTTGGGTTTCTACTACAAAACAACCACTGTCAAAAAAATACCCCCAAAAAAACTAAACCCAACCACCCCAAACCCAAAATACATTACAGTCAGTAACCCAGCGTAAACCTTCCTGTAACCCAGGAAGCGTTACAGATTCCAAATCATGGTATAAGACAAGAGAATTACCTTGTTCATACAATTAAGCTAATATTTATCAGGGTTTATTGCATGTGTCTCAGTTTTCAGTTAATAAACCTTATCCAAAGGAAATTTGAGATTGATAGTGAAATTATTTATAAGTTTTGATTCTATGATGATGATGATTCACAGCATTAAAGCTCTGATTAAATTCAGTTTGTTTCAGTTTCATCCAAACTGAGAATTAAGGTATGAAAGTCATAAATTTGTCAGTTTGGGTTATTTTAATATCCGTAAGAGTGGACTGTACTACATGAAACATTTTAAAATATTAATCAAGTTATTTCAACATTAATGACAGTATACAAAAGCTAGGAGTAAAATGGAAGGTATATAAGAGGTTTCAGTGAAATAATAACTTCCATAAGCTAGTTTCTAACTAAATTTTTGTGCACAGTGGAATATTACTAAGTATTTGTAGGATTTAATTTTTACAATTTTCAGTATTTCTCTATTGTAAGGAGGAAATAAAATCATGACTGATCAAGGGTGCGCTGATGTCTCTCTTGGGTAAGCCTACTTTCTCTTATCAATTTGCTTCCCCTCCGAGCGATGTTTTTTGAAATTTATTATGTGTAACACATTTCTAATATATTTTACATCAATGCAAAAATTAATAGTTCTTAGAATAAATGATATTGTACCATTGTACAATATAATTTATGTACCAATGTACCTTGTACCATTACAAGATAACAATGAGACTATTTACAGCATTTAAAAAAAAAATGATGGAAGAAGACTTATCTGCTAATTATCAAATATATCTTCTTGGAAATATGAATACGATTTTCAAGACGGTCAGGGCACTAAACAGCAGCTTCAATAGCTTTTGAAAACAAGATATTTTTGTGCCTTCCACATCAACTCATGCTACGAAATTGTCTTCCCAGATAGCAGGATTCCTTCTCAGGCTCGTCTAACACAAACAGTCAAAAGAAGCCAAAGCTTGCCCATTTGGAGGGGGAAAGGATCAGAATCGGGAACTTCTCTGTATTTCTCATCTGGTTATAAAGATCATTATGAGGTGAAACTTATCAAGACTATGACAGTAGTGTTAAACTGCTACAACATTTATATTGACAGAGCAATTTGTTTCACAGGTATGTGGTAACTTGTCTTTTTGTATTTGCAATCTGCAAAGTACACCGAGATACTTACTGATGAAACCCCATATAATTTATTAAATACTTTACAGTTTTAACATATTCCAATTTTGAGATGCAAACCCCTGATTTTATAAAATCTTAATGTGTAGAATTCCTACTTTAATGAGTAGAGGTCAAAGAAAGCACATGCCTTTTTTTTAGCTGAGCATCAAAACAAATAATCTCAGAAACTAAATCCCACTGTGTAGTTTCTACACAATAGTATATTAATATACCTAAAAAAAGCTAGCAACTAATTAAGCATCTGTCCTAAGACTTATATTCAGATATAAATCTAAATATTAAAAGCACTATATTTCTATACATGCCAACAATATAATATTGTCAGTACTATCAATATAATAACTGATACCCATTAATTTCTGCAGACTATTTTTACCATATAATATCTATGTCAGCCTTTTTGAGCTCTGTCAGTAACAAATTGTTTTCTGACTAAACAGAGGCCACTTGTACTCTACGTTAAGCAGAGAAATAAGCACAGAGGAGACAACGGTCTGAGGGCATCCCCAGAAAATGTCATCATAAATGTTTATACTCTGCAGCAGTGACTATAGGTGTAAATATATCCAATTTAGCTATAAAGCAGGCGAAGTAAGGATTTTTATCTATTGCTTCCATGCCACAGACCACAACAGTGAAGTAAATAAACTAAATTTTTGCTCTCTGCGTAATGGGATGACTCTGTTGCACCTTCACATCACTAATTCACAGACAGCTGACATATTTTAAAGCCTGAAACATATAACCATTAATCTAATCATATTATATATATTATTAATATTACAATAATTAATGCAATTACATAATTAACTAGGAATATCATCTTCACTTAAACAACTTAAAGTTACATGAAAAGGCTTGAAAATTCAAATAAAAATCCCTGAAAATATTTTTTTAATGCTAGTGTTACGACACTTCTGAAGCCTGAGCAAATGTGAACTCTTAACAATTTACTCCTAGCTGATTACCAGGTATATTATCTTCAAGTTGTTTATGCAGTGCTTCTACCTCCCTCTCTAATGCTTCTAACCCTTCCTTATACCAGAGGATAAAGTATCAGTCCACCACTTGATTAACATGGCAGCTTTGATCCCATCATACAGATGAAAAGCAGCTTAGTCTAGTTGCAGCTTAGTCTAGTTTGTTACAGTATATGCTATGTACTGCAGTGAAAGCACTACTTCTAAAATGAAGCTACTTCACACAAATCAGACCACAGCAAGTATGTACTGCATCAAATCTAAGCCATCTTTACCATTTAGCAGAAAACCTTTATAAAGTAATGGTGTATCTGTGAATAAAAATAATTTTAGTTCCAAGGATTACATCATCACTTCATTAATGTATTAACATATTATAACTTCTGTATATCAAATACAATATAAAGCTAAATGCCCAAGCATATAAAGTTATTTTTCTGTTATGTAAACAATGACTGGGCACACTATTGACTTCTAGGCATTCTTAGGCTTTCTCTTAACAAGAGAAGTTTGCCAGATCCTTCTTGTGCTTCACAAAATGAGCAATGGCTGCAATATCAGTGCATTCTCTGTAAGTAAACGAGGCAAAATCAATTCAAAATGCAAACACACAGTATGCTGACAGATAATTTTCTCACAAGCAATATTTCTAAAAAGCCTAAACAAAAGAAATCCTTCCATTTTGGGTGAAGTTAAAAAAAACCAACCAAACCCGAAAAAATGGAAGCAAAATTGGCAGTTCCTACCCAAAGATACCGTTATTACTTTTTGCTCAGACTTGCTCCTAACTGAACACTGTATTTAAGAAGCATGGCAAGTATCTCAAGTTGGAGATACAGCATCCGATAACATCTTTTTCTCTGAGTGCCACAGGCAGTGTGCTAGCCTATTGCATTCTACTGTTGAAATGAAATAAAGGAAATAAAGAAGGGGCTTCGTCCACTAGTTTACATAGCTCTATTATATTAGCATTATATTTCATTTAATTAGAGGTGCTAAAGAACTGGATATTGACCTTTTGTAATATTGTTAGCAGGAGGCTAATTTGGGAACATCATGACAGTAAGAAAAGTTTTTTTACTCTCCCCAACATTTAAAAAGAAGGCAACTCAAATAGAATTGCTATTTCTGTATGTAGCAAAGTTTAAAACTTAAAGAGACACAAAGCGTATTTTTGAAATCTTTACGTTACCTCTGCTTCTACATCCACATTCTGTTTCAGAAGCAACTTCAAAATGTCGACATGGCCATTCTGACTAGCGGCTTGCATAGCTGTGTGTCCAGCACATTGCCCATTCACCTGGAAGCATACCAGTACTTTGAGATAAGTTGCAAGACACACACACATACCTATGAACCACTTGAGTAGCATACATCCAAGTTTATTCGAAAACTTAAAGCAACAGCATGCATATGAAAGTATCAAATGAACAATTTTTAGACAGATGCCTTTCTGGCACATATAGATAATCTCATAGGTCTTTTGTATTTCATTTCTATAGCATTAGCTAGATTGACAGAAAAGCAGCAAGAAATGGATTTATTTCAAACATTAAGACCTTAACAATAGCTGGATTAAAAACTTTCATCTTTGGGCTACTGTAAAGGCAAGATTTTGAGATCAGGTCTCAGAATGATACCAGTCCTCTGCGCTACAGTATATTTAACTTCATTTTCTAATTTATCGCAGCAACAGGAGTCAATCTGAACAAAATACCATGCTTTGTGTAATCTTGAGCTACAAATCAATCCTAAGAACTGATGGAGTTTAGTCTCTTATCTGCAAGAATTACTACTGCTGCAGTAAGAAAACCATCTGCTTGTGATTTTAAAACATATTCCCTGAACCTAGTCCCATAATTCTTAAGAATTTTCTTTTAGGAATTCTCACTACGAGGTGATTAGACAAGTTGGTAAAAGGAATCTGGCAGAGAACAGATTAGATGATCTACCTCGTGAGTCAAAAAAAACAAAACAAAAACAAAACCCATAGCAACAGCAAAAAATCCCCAAAATGTACCCTCCTTCCTTCTATCCCTTCAAAACAAAAGAAGTTGAAGACCGTTCACTAATTGTGAGTGTTTGGTTCTCTGCCCTGACTCTGGCAGACAGAGGCTAAAAGGTATTTTAATTCATGCCAGACAATAGAACACAAAATCTGTCCTGCAAAAAAGGGCGTAAAGCACTATTTTCACACACCCCCAACACGTTTCGTAAGACAACACATGGGAGAAAAGACACTGGAACCAGCTGTACTACTTCTATGCAGACACACTAGTGACTGGCGAGGAGTACCTAGGGCAGCTTCACTTCCTTTAGTGTTACAGATCCCCAGAACAGGTCCTCCCAAACCAGAACACTCACATCTACATCTGGTCTCTTTAGCAGGTCTTCCACTTTAGCAACGTCTCCATTGGCAGCAGCTTTAACCAATTCTTCATTGAGATCTCCAGATTCTTGGGTTTCAAATAATTTCTTCAACAGCTGGGACAATCTCTCTATAATTATTAAACAAAGGACAGTTAAGATTACAATTCCAATCACACAAGAACAGAAAAATAATAGCTAAATTTGTCATGTTTTTAAAGGCATGTACACAGTAATACACAAGCCACCATAAAGTGGCAGCTGTAAGTTATTATTCTGAGTAAGCGCTGCACCCCAATACCCTTTAGATAGTTGAGACTGTCACGTCAGACACTTCAAAACAAAGTTGACTGAACCACAAATAGCTTGTCTACCACAAAATATAGAAGGGTGGGGAGGAGGTAAAAACATGAATTTACATATTGATATAATAGGCTTCTTGATCTTCTAGCTTAACTTAAGGTATATCCTGCCCTCTGTGATTTGAAACACTAAGTCATATTACTCTTCTAGCTAGTTTTATGGCCACTGAAACTTTATCTTTAGGGCAGAAAACTCACTGTATCTATGTCTCCCTAGTAAAAAGTCTAGAAAAGTACTGTATAAGGGTTTCTTGGCGTTAAAGCAAATATGTGAAGAGGAAAAAACAACTAGCTATGACCAAAAAGAGGAAAAACATTCTAGTTTAATTGATCTGTGAAATAGCCAACAAAACATAAAACACTTTGAATATCTTTCTGCCTCATTATTAGATGAATGAGAGCAGGTTCAACAGAACTCAAATGTGATTACATAGACACGAAAAAAAAAATCCCACTGTAATTAGTCAAAGGATGTCTGACTAAATTTTAAGACTGAAATTTTAAGGAAAGACTGTTATCCTGAGTAACTGCTTGCAACAGATCCCTCCCTTATGCTTGCTATCCCACACCACCTATTAAACAAGTATGCTGCTTGCCACAGCCAGCGACACTCTCTTCATGCCTTAGTCCCTATACCAATCTAATGTCCCTTCCAATCATTAAAATTTAAAAGCCCTTAGAGCAGACCTCCAAAGACATACCTGCACTGTGGCCAAACAGAAACCCAAATTCAATTTGGAGGTTTTTTTGCACCTTATCAAGATAACAACAACCAACATCTCCATATAGACTGCAAGCTTTTTCTTGCATCTTTCTCTAAGGTATAACATCCATTAGCCAAACCCCAGGTCTGAGTATTACTAGTACATAGTTTGTATGCAAGGTTAATACTTATTAACAATTTTTTAATTAACACAAATACTTGCCATACGTACATTACTGGTTATTCTTCAAACTTACCACCAGATGCATTACTTATAGCAGATCCTGCTGATGCCACCTTTGAGACAGCTGCTGGATTGTATGTCCAAGATGTCCCACAAACCTCTACCTTTAAGTCGCTGTCTGAATAGATCTGCTGGACCCGACCAACTTTACCCAAAGTCTGCATTAAAGAAAACGTCAAATGCAAGTAATACTAAAAATAAAATATTTAGAAATCTGAACATTGTAGTAAGTCACAAATTCTATGAAGTCAGTTGTTTAATAGTACAGTCACTAATACCTTTAGCTAAGTTTCATCAGGCTATGCAGATTACTATATCTGAGCAAGCATTACACTGTGTTTGATGAAATACACTTTCTCTAACTTAGAAGAAAATCACTTTGACTCCCACAACCTCCAGGTATTATTACCAACCATAACTAGAAATATTATACAAGTTTTACAATTCTATGAATCCAAACATACAGCTACTTACTGGAAGCATTGCTTCAGCCCACTCTCCATGACCTCTCTGAAGAAGCTTGATTCGCTCCAAGTCATAACATACTTGAACAAGGTCACCCACTTGAAATTGAGAGGTACCTCCTTCTGCACCTTGAGCAGCATCTCCACTTCGGACAACATTGGCTTTGGTGAGAACAGCTGGATTAAACGTCCACCTACACAATGAATCATTTAAAGCAGATTTTAAACATGCAAAGGGAAATATATGTTTAAAAATCTGTTGGACAAGATTCTGCTTGTATGCCTACAAACTTTCTGTAATTGGATACTATGGCATATTTGTTGTTAACCATTTTTTGCCCATAAACTTGTCTGTGGGTCATTAGTTGAATATTTCGAGGGTAATCTTCAGAGATGTACATTTGTAAAGCAATGAAGAAATATCTTGCCTAAGGGGAAGCAAGCCAACAACAATGGAATAGATCTGAAAGTAGCTATACAGTTTGTTTATTTTTCCAGGGAGAGAAGGAGACGATTCTGGTTGAAAAGGGGAAGATCCAAGCTGTCTCAACAAAGGACTGGACTGTCAGGACACAACATGGGAAGAACATGGGATTTTGCACCCTCCCTTCCAAGTCAAACTGCAACATTCAGTCATAAAAAATACTCTTCAATCAAATGGATGTCCTAGATACACCTCAATTTTTAACCAAACTATCCTAATTTGTACTATAAATTTTACTGGTTTAGAGGCATTTAGCTGTTTTTATTCTGAGTTATATTCTAATATATAATATGGTGATTTCTCCTTTATGTGCCATTTGGTCTGGGGTTGACTTTCATTCAGCTATATGATCTAGTTGAGAAGCATCAGGTAATCTCTATAAAGGGCAAAGTCAGGGAGGAAACCACAAGATAGAGCAGCTCCTCTCACTGGCTCTGCAGCCATGACTGTCAGAAGAAACGCCACTTGCATCCCTTCAGCTTGCATTAGCCCAGAAAACAGCTTTGTTTTGCATTACTTTGTGATATTAACAAACAGTATCTTGAGGGAAAGCCTGAATGAATAATGCACTGTTAATCCTTTCTAGACAAACTGAACAGGACAGTCTCCAGATACAACTGAAATGATACTCCATTCATTAGCTGCTTTTTAAAGACAAGCCCAATACTTCAGAGCAAGACAACACAAAACCATGTGGACTTATCAGCTCAGATGCAGCTGTAGAGCTGGGTTTGAATCCTGTTAGCATAGATGCAGCTCATCAAATTTCAAACCTAAACTGCTTGCAAGGAGTGCTTTTGGCAACAGCTTCCCCAACACTTCCCATTCTCGGTCCATATTTACATGCCAAGGTCACTCTATATTTACATGCCAAGATCCCCAACATAACGTTTGTCACCTGTCCTCTTAACCCATTTTCCTGAAAACCTGCAATGCATTGCTATTACCATTCCCCTTGAAACCATGGGATAATTTGTAATTAAAAAATAAATTATTGCTTAAAACACTACATTTTGGAAATAAGATAGTCCAGAATGTCATTCATTATTTCGGACTCAAATTTTCACCAAGTGAGAGAGGCAAACTTCCTTGTCCCACTAAAGCATCTTTAAAGGTAAGTCCTCATTACACTATAGAAGGAATATAAAAATTCTCAAGAAAATCTTAGTAAACACAAAAGGAGAACAGAAAGTTTCTGGCACCAAGTGATCGCAAGTGCTGAAGGCAAAGGAAGTTTGTGAGAATCAATGATGAAGGCTATATAACAAACCTGTTGCCACTTGGATATTGTACTACAATATCATGATCCTCATCAATACCACAAACTGTTCCAGTTGTTGTTAAAGTTTCAAACATGCCATCAGTCCATCCTCCATGACCATGCTGCAAAGACTGTACAATTTCCAAATCAAGGTCAATGTTTACAAGGTCACCTATTTGCAGCCCACCAGGGTTTCTGTTACCATTTTGCTCACCTGAAATAGAATAAGAAGAAAATGTTCACATGACCACACTAATTCTCCACGCAATTTAAAGAACAGAAGTTAATTTCTGAGACTTGATGCCTCTGCAACTGTAGTGGCCAATAGCTAAAAGGGAGTGAACAAGTGAAAAAGAACTCAATCTCTGGCTATGGAATCGTGTGTTTCTTGTTGAGTTTTCGTGGCAAATAGCAATGACACTGGCAAATGCTAAATACTTGTCACAGGCTCCACTATGGGCTCTAACTGGAATGGTAACAGTTATCATATGGTGTTAGACACCTAGATACATAAGAGCTCTGATAGTTTTGACAGAGTCTCATATAAAGTGCCATCTATCCACTCAGAGGCTGAAAGATAAGCAGAAGGCCCACAGAAAGTGGTTTTGAATCAGGTCAGTCCCTGAATATGGAGAAAGCACTGGCAAAAGAATACCTCCAAAATGACCAGTGATGAAAATCGTTAACCTTGTAAGTGGGGAGATGACTACAAACAAAAAACCCCCCTGCAAATTTAAAATTGTTCTCCCTGGACAATGCCTGCTTTCAAAAGATGTGTCATAGAAAAAATTCATTAGCTGGAGGGAAATGGCATACACTCACACACATCAGGCTGTGTTAACTGATGAGATTTGTGGACCTGCTCACTGCCAGAACCAGAGGATGGTATCTGGTGCCATCCACAGAACAGTGAAGTGTACGACAACTGCAGAAGTCATGTAGACTGACTTCAATGGCAACATCAGTGGCAAAGGACAGGGTGAGCAGAGTTCCTTTAGTAATAATGCTGTCTCTAAGGGGGAGAGGGGAGTGTTTGTTTTTCCCCTTCCAAGCAAGAGGTAATAATGGAGAAAGGGTCCTTGCACTGTAACAATAAGGAAGTACAAACAAATAGCCTGACACATAGAGACAAAAACATTATTTGGAGGGAGACTGATTCCAGAGCCTGAAATCCACACCAGATGTTAGCAGCACTAAAAAACTCCAGAGGAAAGAATGGCAAAGAAGAGAATCTGGTACTACTGAAGAAGAAACTGCCGAGAAAGGAAACACGCCCATGAATAAATGCTCATGTTCAATGGACTTTGACTTCTATGACCACCCAGTGACTTCTTTCTGTCCTGGTCTTAGTTTAAAGGACCCATAGATGGAACACTATTTTCAGTCTGTACCCTTCACCTTCACAGCAAAACACACCTAACATGGAAAACAGCCACTTCCACAGAGTGGAAGTCAAAGATTAATTCTTCAGAAAAGCTACTGATATGTGTTAGATATCTTCTAACATAGATAGAAAACTTAAACAGCAAACATCCCAGAGACAGCCTTGATGAGACAGGGAAGTCTAAGAAAGGAAGAGATATAAAACAGCAAAGAATTATAGAAGCATTAGTCAGAGGAAAGGATCTCTAGAGGTCATCTGGTCTGATATCCCACACAAAGCTGAACTAACAACCAGCTGAGGTCAGCTGTGGCTTTGCCTATCTGAGTCCTGAAAGCTGAGGTTCCACAACCTCTCCAAGTAACTTTTTCTAGTGCTGCAATATAGAGCTGTAGGTGTAACAGAAAATGTCTTCAATTTCTGATCTGAACCTCTCGAGTCACTTAGGGTGGCCTTAAAGCCGCTAACATTTGTTTTTATGCCATTTGCCACTACTGAAATTTTGGTGCCATCATTTTCAAGTACACTTCAAGTGGTTGTAGGTGGCTAGTAGATTACCTCTTAACCTCCTTCTTACCAGACTAAACAAGCTCAGCTCCTCCTCCTTGCAAATCATGTCCTCTCAGTCTCTTAACCACTTTAGCAAGCCACCATCAGACCCTCTATAGTTTCTCAAAACTGGGGGAGGAGGGAAGAGGAGATGGACGGACAATGACACAAACAGGACATAGTATTCCAGACACAGCTTCATCACCATTGAGAAGAGGGGGATAACAACTTTTCCTATTCTGTTGTCCACCATCCTCCTAATATAGCTCACTATGAAATTTACCTTACTTGCAATGACGGCACACTGCTGTCTCATTCAATTTGGTATTCAGTGCAACACCCAGGTCTTCCTCAGCAAGGCTCCTCACTCAGGCATTCACAATTCCCAGTCTGGGAATTCCTGGTACATAGGCTTATTCCAAGCAGAGTGCAAAACTGCACTTCTGATTGAACTCCACGAGGTCTCCATTCACCAAATTCTTCACCTCCTCAAGGCTCTTCTGAATAAAGCTTTACTTTCAACCACGCCCCTTTGCCAACCTGCTATCACCTGCAAATTGTCTGGGATTGTATTCTGTCTCACCATCAAGGTCACTGATGTGGTATTGAACAAAATAAGTCCCAGTATTTTGCCCCAACTACATACTACTCTGTATTAATTAGGCCCCTGCTGGAATATTATTTGCATTCTATTTACTTCAAATATCACAAAGCTTCAAAAATAACTTCGAGCTTTTAATGCAAGCATACATTTAAATTCACAGCATGAACGTATCTGTGAACTACATTCAGAAGACAAATAAAAGGGATAGATGTTCTAACAAACAGTAAGACTGGGAAGATGGAGGATAATATGGCAAGAATGATGCACCGAGTCCATCATCATCCTTTATGAGCAACTTAATACAGCGGAAGGGGAAGAATTTAACAAAGAATAGTCTCCTACTATCTTTAGTGATTAACATTCATGCATTCAAATACAGTATTCACCCTAGAAGTAAGCTACATACAGAAAACATTGACCTGTACTTTTAAAGCAAGAACAAAAATGAATAAAGGGCACGCATAAGAACCTAAGTTTACCTGTGTAATAAAGAACCAGTAAGATCCTATTACTACTTTCCTATTTTCATTCACGTCAGACTAAAGTGACAAAATTAATTTTAATTACAGAAGCAAGATACAAAGATCAGAATGCCTTGGCTTTTTTCTTTCAAACAATTCATCTACTTGACAGTAGATATCTAAGTGACTTCTTGGACAACTGTTTTTTGTCTAAACAAAACAGACCTTTACTGTTGTCACCTTTTCACCAATACTGTCAATAAAAGAATAGTGCTTGTAGGTCATACTTCAAGTATTTGTGCAAGGAATTAGATTAAAACTAGTAAATAGAGAATTCTCATCACTTCAGAAAAGCCAGTATTATCAGCTAAGTTTTTTATGCATTGAAATGTAATAAGAAACTCAAGAGGAAAAGCAAAATTTCCTGTAGTGTCCAGTTTTGTGACCAGGTGTTTTGCCAAGGAAATACACATTAATAATTAAGAAATTTGTGTCCAGTAATCTATAAAATTTATCCCAACTTGCCCATATTTCAAAAACCAAAACACCTGGCAATTATTTTTTATAATACACTCTGCACATGTCTACAGCCCAGCCAAGACACTAGAGGAATAAGTCAGTGCAATAGCTGATGTGGAAAACCTCAACTAAGACTTCACAACATATATTAGTATAAAATAATAGGTTGTTATATGTTCGAATGACTCCTGTTTATGGCTATGTACACGCTACTTCATTGAACACCTCTGAATATTTAAGACAGTCTTATAAGAATGCACAGCTATGTTTGGCTCTTTAGAAATATAGTGCACAAGACTTGTGACTCAATTTATTACTTAGTCAACACTTAACAGCTCCCTTGCCATCCACTTGGCACACTGATACCAAATACATTTAGCTATGTAATTTAATAAAATAAAAAATAAATTACAATTTATTATTAATGCATAGAAATGCTACCATTTGCATTTCACTAGTAAGGACAGTCCTTTTAGATGACATTTAAAGAGAAATCCAGACTACGTATAATTAACACACATCAAGATAAATTTACTTTATCTTCAACTCACCTAACACAGGACAATGGTCCCTGTAGAAAGAGCCTCCTTTTGCATCTTGGACACATTTCAGGTCAGACTATGAAGAGAGATTGAGACAACTTTAGTCCTCACTGGCTGAGTCTCCAGGTTAACATAAGTCAGTGAAACTAGAACTGAAATACACTCAATAAGAAAGGCTGAAAATCATGTGTACAAAAAACATGCCTCATGAATTCGTTACTGATGCATATCATCTCATATACTTTCCAATCTATCAGCCTTGACATTCTCAAGATTTTAATAACCTTCACCAATATAAAAGGCTATAAATGATGAGACATTTTTAACTCAAAGGAAGGTATTAAAATAACACAAAGCTCCTTTGCATTGTTCTATAAGGTTATCTTTCCTTTTAAAAAACACAAGGACAGAAAAAAAAAGTATCTGCAAACAGTGCTCAAGGCCACAGCCTTTCCTGTACCGATCATTTAATGCCTGCCAGTGCTGCCCCCTCTTCCCAACCCTTTTTGACAGATACATGTTTAACTTAGAGAAGAAAACCTGGCACCCAAATTCTACAAAATGAAGAATTTCCAATTAAGAATATACAGAACACAAGGATATTGCTTTCTTTTTAAAAAAAAAACAGTGCTGAGCTAAACATGATCTTTTTAAAGACAAAAGTTCTAAAGCTCATCCTCCAGAAAGACTCTGTTCAATATTATCTGAGAAACAGAGGTTTCGAGTGTGATAACCAACTCCTATTCATAAAGCCAGCAGAGTTACTATAATTCTCCTTTCCTCTAGTTTTTTCCCTGTGTAACCCTTAAAGCCAAACAGCTACCATCTGCCATTCCTCCTTATGGAACAATTCTCACTAAACAAAGGGCATTTTGTGCACACTATGAGTTGGGAAGGAGATAGGAAACTGTTTGCAAAATGTGTCAGAATATTCTATGGGATGGGGGAGGAAATAGAGGACAGGTGGTGGTTATGATATAATCAACCAGAACTAAACAATTATTTTTCCCACACCCAAGATTTATTGACAGACTGTGCTCCTGCAAAAGGATGAAAATGAAAACTCTCAAGTCTTCCAGATCATCAAGGCACTGACAAACAATACTACCCTCAGTGACCTGTAACTGCTAAGCAGCCAGAAACGATACAAAATTCAGCGTACATCCTGATCTGTGAAGAACGTACCACCACTTTTTCAAAAAGTGATGAAAACAGCCAGATGAAAACAACGAGATTTAGCCGCTCTCGTTCAGCCCAGCAGCAGCAGGCCTGTGACAAAATGCTGCCACCCGGTGGGCAGGTGCTGGGTTTAACTCGGCCGAAGACAAAGGGGCTGCGCTGACCATCCCAGATGGCAAGCCGATTCATTCCCCCAGACCAACGGAGATTTAATGTGCTCGGCAGCACTCGGTGTCACCCACTGAATACAAACTCTTCGCGTCATGCAACAACCAGCTGTCTGCACAGGAGTCACGAAGGGGTATACATGCAAGAGCTATTTTCACGTTCTTCAGAGCATTAAGAATAGAGCGCAGGAGGGTCCTAAACGGTTCTCCTCCCAGCAAAGCAAAATCTGGGTGAAAGATCACTTGCATTACAGCAAGTCTTAAGATACAGAGCAGACTGATGGCTAAAAGCTAGCAGAAGAAATAAAATATTCAGTAAAAGGCTAATTACTATCTTGCAGCAGAAATTAGTAGGAAGCAGGTTAAGATACATTAAATTTTACAGGGAAAAAACCACCCACCAGAAACCTACACATCTACTCTTTTTTACCCTGCTTGTACCATGCCCTACGCGTAGTTTATTTCTGGAGTATAATGATATACTTGGTTGTAAAACTAAGTGGTAGCTTGATGTTGAACCTCAGCTTCACATCTGTCTTCCTTTCACTTACATGGTGAAGTCAATGCTAGATCACTAAGGAGTAAAACGAGTCTGATTTAAGTATCACAGAAAAGCAAAGGTAACGTGTTGGGGTTTTTTTTTTGCATAAGCCTTCACCAAAAAATTGAGCACTCAAAATGCACAGAAAGATGAGGCACTGACAGGTATTAAGGCAGTACAAAACTAACTCGTATATACTGTATATACTGCAAACAGTTCCTTCGGCAAGTTTACAAACAGCACTACTAAGAAAAGTAACATCAACGTGATAAAGGCCTGCAAATGTCTTAGAAAACATAACCAAACCCAAAAAAGATCCTGGAGTTTTAAGATAGGAAACTGTAGTTAGTTGTACTTCAGTACCATGAAAGCTGGGTAAGCAACTATAATTCCACTTCTAGCGCTTAGTTACAATATTTATCAGAAAAGGAAAACAAGCTTTATTCCGCCCAAGTAGTTTAAGTGAAAAATCAGGGGTGGTGTTAAGCTCCTGGCCATCCTCCCCTGGGGACTGCATGGCAAGAGGCCCCCCTAGTGAGGACAGAGCACAAACACACCCTAAGCCAGGCCACACCAGGCTGCCAGCACACCACTGCTGCCAGCTCTGCTGTACCGCACTTTGGAGAACGCCACCAGGATTTTTACAAGTTTTATGAGTCTTCCTGAGCCTTGTACATGGATTGAAAATGCGGATCGCTTGGAGATGAGATGTACAAGTGCAAGAGGGACTGTACCAAAACACAAGGGACGTTAAAATGCAAGTTTTAGACATGGTGACACCGTGCGCAGAAAAAGAAGTAATAACTGTGAGGCTGGGTGTAAATACATGATGGAGACAAACATGCAAAGACTAAAACAAAACATAAGCTTTTATACACTAACTTAATGGAGAAATCATTCAATGAATCCTGAATAGGATTCTTTCAAGAAACAGAAAAACAAGCTATAGATTTTGTGGAATTTGTGTATAGTTAGAGAAGATATGGAAGCCCCAGTTAAGCAGGAAATCGTTATAACGAAAACTCAAGAACAGCATGAGCACAAAACACTGCACAGCAGGACTTTCAGATCCGTAGTAACAGCTGATGCACATGAGCAGTGAGTAATAATGGTTTTTGCCTACAGTGGAGAACGTTGGTCTTCTAGCATCTGCCTTCTGACTTGCTGAAAAATTCTTTGCATTCCAGCTGTATGTGACTGGATTACATAAAGATCATGATCTGCTCAGCCAAATGGGAAATACAGAAAACGTAGCAGTTTACTTTGACTTACCATCCAGTTATACCATTGAAAAAACAGCAGCAATTTCATCATCATAAAAACTTCAGAGAATGAAAAAAAAAAGTACATTACAGCAACACCAGCAATGTTGGCAGATGGCGTAAAAGCACTGTCATCCCTGACCTTGAAGAGGAAAACAATGCTGAAGGAGCAGCTGCCTATTGGAGTAACTATTAAGTTATTCCAATCAATATGGAATGCCATCCATCAAAATCAGGGAAGGGAGTCTACATACTTGATAAGAAAACTAGGTGTGCTGCTAAGAAAAAGAAGAATGTTTGATCCAGATGCACTGAAATAGTATCTAACACCAGCAGCAAACACCAGGAGAGAAATTAATACCGATC